CTGCTTATTAATTGATTGGCTTTAGGTAAGTTCCTTAACTTCATGAACCTCAGTTTTCTCTTCTGTTGAAGAGAAGTTGTAATAATTTCTGCCTTATCAGATGGCATGAGGTGTATGTAAAGCATCTCACATGTAGTAGCTGCTCATCAGATGAACCTTTGTCTCCAAAAGAGAATTCCTGTTAGTCACATCAGGGGTTTGTAGAAAAGCTGAGCACAATGTTGCCTGTTGCACAGCTTTTTCTCCCCTGCAAGTGTTTGCTTGAGGAAAGCCACATTTCCCACTTGGCATCTCAAGTGGATCTTTGATTTTATAAGTTAGAAGCAGCTCTGTAAAGACTCTATTGATGGGCACAACGTGTGTGAGACAAGAAGTGTGTTTATGGAAACTTGTCACATGCTCTTAGAATATTGCTCTACAAAACAGCCCTACACCAGTACTTGGGTTTGATAGGGCTTGATATTTTAAAGAAGAAAGTTGGGCTCATTAATCCTTTGATTCAAGTCTTTAAAAAATGTTTACAAGTTTTGTTAATTAAATATTTCCTACTAAGATTAAAACTATTTGTCTGAAACTACATAGTAGTTTTTTATGTGTGCATAGTTTCATACAGGTTCCAAGAAAAAAATCTATTTATGTCCACTTTTAATTATTGCTCTATTCCAGTGGTGGTGAACTTATGGTGCATGTGCTGCAGCAGGCTGTTTGTATCATTGGAAGCTCTAAAAGGTTCGCCATCCCTGCTCTAAGTCTTTCTGGATGAGCAGGGTTTCCCATGAGTGGATTGCCTCCATTCTTGAGAGCACTTTAGATTTCCACCCAGCCTTACACATTTCTGGTGGGCATAGCATCTACCATTTAAATGAATGAAATAGAGAACGCTCTTACAGAAACAGATGGAAAAATAAGAAACAGGTCCAAGTATATGTAAGTAAGTTCATTTGTCAGTCCGGCCACTTGTCCAGTCATTTATTCATTATTCATTACATAAACAATTCTTAAAACGTATACTATGGCAATGTCTCCTATATAACAATATGACACAATCTGTATAAGCAGAATGCTAGAGTAGGAAAACTTCCATTTAAAACCTTGTCCTGACACTTACTTGAATTTTTTATCTAAGCAATTGGGAAATTATATAACCATTCTGTTTTTATGTGGTATAGTCATGCTTTGTTTTCTGTTCAGTGAAATAAACAAAACAGAAACCAAATTGCCCAGTGACTGCAGCTGGTGCCAGCCTAGCTCATCCAAGACTCCTGGCTGTCCACCTGTTTTATACAAAAACATAATGGTGTCCTCAAATTAGTACCTTCTTTCTGATTAAGTTAGAAGTGGTGTTTAAATGTTTCTAAGTCTAGGAAAGACTCCGGTGAAGAAGACACCAGTCCTAGAACACAGGCTTACCACTTTCCTTTGCGTGACTGGGCCTCAGCTGCCATCCATTGGAGTATGTTCTAATCCCGGTGCCGGCAGTTCCAGCTCAACTCTGTAGAGCAGCTGCAAAAAGCAGATTCCAGAACAGGAAGCCCTCAGTTCAAACTCTTGTTCTGCCCCATACCTTGAACCAGTTCCCTTATCTGTTTTAGCCTCAGTTTTTTCATTTATATAATAGGAATACAGTATGTATTCTAGAGAATTATTGAAAAAAAAATCACAGGCTAGAATGTCAATAAAGCCCTGCACTAATGTTTGGTATCTGGTAAATATTGTGACGTTACCTGGGATCATATTTATGTTCAGGCATTTGCTAAGCTGGCACTACAAGAAGGAACATGGATCAGAGTTGTCATCTACCAGGGCAGAGCCTTTGAACAAATAGCTACAGATTTACTATGGTTCTGGGAAGTGCTGTAAAGGTACAGACACAATCCTATGGGCATGTGAAGCAGGCAACAGCTTCATCTGTGGACTCAGGAAAGGTCTTCCTTGGTATCACTAGGTGACTTCATGGAAGTATTGCCTGGGAAAGAGAGGCCTGAGCACGTTGTTTCATATGGGATAAAAGTAATTTTTCAAACAACTAAAGAAAGGATGAATCATCCATTAAATTATGCTAGGATAAAAAGAGTTTGGAAAGAAATTTTGATCATGTCATACTCCAAAAAAAAAATTTAAGTAGAATAAAGTGCTAAATATAAAAAGTAAACCTATAAAAAGAATTAGAATTTATATAGTTTTTTTTTATCATTGAGGAAAGGAATTTCTAGTATTACTTCAGAGATTGAAGGCATACTAGAAACATTTGTTGGGTTTTTCTATTAAGAAATTTTTGTTTCTGAACATCGAAACATACCATAAACAAAGCAGAAGTAAATGATGAATTGGGAAAACTATTTATATAAAATTTACTGCAGAGATCTAATATCCTTAAGATATAAGGAACTCTCATTAACCAGGAAGAAAAGCAAGTATGCACATGATCATGGTGAGGGTGGAGGCCTTGTCGGTTCTCTGTTGTATCCCTAGAACCTCATCATCCCTGAAAGAAGGGAAAAATGAACTAATTGATCATGATAGAAAATTAAGGGCTCCACCGCCTGCTGCGCAAGCGCAAGGACCCGAGTTCCATCCCCAGTACCAAAACAAACAAGCAAACAAAGAAAATTAAGCAAAGTACCTAGGCAGATTACCAAAAACAAAATCACAGGTAACTAATTCCCACGTGAAAATGTGAACAAAAAGCCGATAAAGGGCCAGGCATTTAGCTCAGGGGTTTCGCCGCCTGCTGCGCAAGCTCAAGGACCCGAGTTCGATCCCCGGTACGAAAAAAAAAGCCAATAAAAAGATCATCGAAATTCCACTTTCAGTCATCAGGTTGGCACGTTTTGGAAACTGGTGACACGGCTGTTCACGAGGGCAGGTTTCAGGGCACAGGCACACTTGGTGCTGGAGGGAGTGCACTTGTGCCACCGCTCTGGAGCAATCTGGCAGTGCGTGCGTCTTAGAAGTTTCACTTTCGAGTCAGAAGCTATTATTTTGACCCAACAATTCTATTTAGAGGAACGTGTCCTCAGGAACTATTATTAAATAAACTGACTATAGACTAGTAGGTTGGAATAATCCAATTTTTAAAAAATATATATCCACATGTTCTACACCTAGAAAAAAGATACAAAGATTTTATATGCCAACATTATTTCTAAGTGGTGAGACTATAAGCAAATTTACTCTTTTTTGTTTAGCTATTTTCCCCCCTTCTAATTTATCTTTAATGACTCTGAGTAGCTTATGGGATTTAAAATAACTAAAACTAAGAGTTAAAAAAAAAATTTTTACCTAGTGTTGCAAAATACAAAACTGGCATCAAGTAGGGATATAAATCCAGCCCACCCCTCTTGGGAGGACAATTTGCCATTGTATCAAAGGTTGTAAAAACATGCAACTCCTTTGATCCAAAATTTCTTGTCTGGAAACTAGAGTGCTGTACATCATCCCCAAGTAACAGATTGAAGACTAATTTTGGTAGGTTGTGTGTGCATTTATTTTCTAAGTTTTCCGAAAAGAACAAGTGTAGCAAAAGAAATTAAGGATCACTTGTAGTTTCCTGGAGTTGTTGTCACCTTATTAAGGAAATGAGCTACAAAGCTGCCAAATCCAAACGTGTACTTCTGTTTTGGTACCCACACACAGGCAAACCTTAGGGGCTTGTATTTCCCATTCTAGATGGGAGAATATTCGTACTACATTAAAGAAATGGGGGTAGGTGGACATGTAAAAAGTTTTCTTCCGTCTCAGGACATTTACTTAGACATTCTGGGTCATTAAAAAATAGAACATTTCAAAGTCAAAGTCACATATTAAAAGGCAGAATAGTTGCGCTGAATACTGGGCATCACCTCGAATCCTGGGGCATGATCCTTGGGTCTGCATTGTGTGCATTAGATACACAGCTTGCCTGAGAGGGAAGAAAGCAGAGTTTTAATAAGCAATGCCACACTTTGAAATTCAAAACAGTATTACTTTCTTCCATCAGGGGAGGTTGGAGAGTTATTCTGCTGATTGTGAGAGCCACAAAGGTAAAGGAAAAATAGAATGGGCTCCCTGGGGACCCATCTCCCAGCTTCAACAGCTGTCTGCATTTTGCCAACTCATGACATCTATTATTTCCCACACATACACACCTCCTTTTCTGAAATATATTTCAAAAATTGAAGATATCATGTCATTCCACCCAAAAATACATTATCTCTCATGCATTTCACCCATAAATACACTCATCTCTAACTGAAAAGGACATTTTAACTAGTCACCATACTATCCTGCCAGCTAAACAAAATTAACAAGTTCCTTAATATATCAGCAGTATGTACACTGTATCTTAGTTTGTACCAGTTGCCTCAAGAATGTTGGTTGATTTGAATCAAACAAAGTCCAGGTAAACATGAATAACAAGGTCCAGGTAAACAAGGTCCAAGTAAAACATGAGTCATTCAACAGACTCATTGTATATTGTTGTACCACTATATGCAACAAATAGAATTTTTATTTTAGTCATTTCTCCTCCTCATCCTTTTCTTCCTCTTTTTCTTCTTTTCCTTTTCCCTTTCCTCCTCCTCTTGTTCATCTTTGCCTTCCTCTTCATGACCTTCTGCATCACCATCCTTATTACTCTTAGCAAAACTCGATTACATAGCTTGATCACTTTATGATCAGACCCTAACCTCTGAATGATCTCTAGTTTTTTTTCCCCTCAGTGTCCAAATATTTTTCACCAATGAGGATAATTAAGTCTCCCTTCAGACAGTGCTGTGGTGTCTCCAGGTAGACATAGAAGAGTCTAGAAGCAGGATTTGGGCAGGAATTGTGGGCAGTAATTCTCAGTTTGTCAGATTTGAAGGGTCATCTTCCCTCGGTGTAGAAATCAGAGACAGATCTCTTCACCACCACATTTGTATGAATTGAGTGTTCACATGTCTTATCTGCTCAACTTACCTGTTCTTACAGGGCCATTTGATTTACCACTAAATATAACTAATGTGTTTATTTGTATACAGATAATTGCTTATCAGCCATATGGAAAGTCTGTGGACTGGTGGGCCTACGGTGTCCTGTTGTACGAAATGCTAGCTGGACAGGTAACGTCTCATTACATTTTCGTGTTTGTATATTGCTGTACCATGTGACTACATCAGCTCTGTTGGGCAGTGATAGCAGGAGCTAACAGTGTCACTGGATAAAGTTGGTTTGATTTCCAAGGGAAAAGAGGAAGAAATTCTCCTTTGAGAGTGAGCTATATCCAGTACATATGCATGAAAATTACCTTCAGGTCATAACAGTTCCAAATGGAAAGCTGTAGCCTGAAGTGTGGACAGTGTAGCTTCACAGTGTACGCAAAGGCCCCGCACACTGATGATGGCAACAGCCTCGGTAAGTTTTCAGTGTCACAAAACTGGGTTTAGGTTAGGGTTCCCAGCAAGTTTGTCTCTGCAAAATTGCCCCAGATGCTGCTCATGTGTAAAGTGGTGATATTACTAAGGAAGAAGACCATTATATTCAGGAAGCAGTTTAATAGTTCCTCCCCATGCCCTCCTGTCTCGCCCTTGGCAATTCACTGTAATTTTCAATAAAGTCCAGCAAGGCTGAACTTTCAGTTAATTTCCTTATTGAAGAACCAAGTGCATTATTGTCTTAAGGTGATACTTTCTAATATAATGATTTTAATATCTGTGTCATCAGGCACCTCTCTTTATACCTAAAAATTGTTGTTGTGGGTGGCTTTTTGTAATCCCAGAATTCAAGTACTAGTACTAAAGAATCTGACCTCCGTAGCCAAGAGCCTTAGGAAGAGAGGATGGACAGAAACAATGATAAACAGCATAGCTGCCCCCACATTGAGCTGGCAGGGGGTGTAGCTGAGTAGTGGAGCAGTGCGTGTGAGACCTGGATTTGATCCCCAGCACCAAAAAGGGGGAAAAAAAAAAAAGGACTGAGGATTCAGGTAGTAGAAAGCTCAAGCCCTGGGTTCCATCCCGAGTAATGCCGAAACAACGAAAGAAAGAAGAAAAACATCTTTGTTTTTGTTTCTGGGGGGGAAAATCACTTTCTTACCTGCTGCATCCATCAACTGTCTTACTCATCTATTAAATCCCTGTTGTGTGTGCACGCAGTAAGCAAAACAAAACTTCTCACTTGCGTGAAGCTTACAGCACATGGAAGGAAAGAGACAATAGATTAGTTAGAAATGTAATACGTTAGTGATAAGCTCGGGAAATAATAAAAAGGCAGAAAAGAAGATACTATGTTGGGAGAGGGTTGAAATTTTAACTAAAATGACCAAGAAAGCCCTCACATAGAATATAAAATTAAGACCAAAGGCAATGAGGGAATGTATCTGCATGATTGGAGGAAGAACACACCAGGCAGAGGGAGCAACAGGGTCAAAGGTCCTGAGCTGAGAGTGTGTGACTATGTTTAAGAAATAGTGGGGAGGGCCGGGGATTTGGCTCAGTGGTTCCGCTGCCTGCCTTGCAGGCGCAAGGTCCTGAGTTCGATCCCTGGTACCAAAAAAAAAAGAAATAGTGGGGAAGCCGGCAGTGTGGCTACAGCAGAGTGAACTTCCCAAAGTAGGAGGCTGAGGTCAGACGGTAGTAAATCTCTGGAGTGTGTAAGCACAGCAGTCACCGCAGGACCACTGGCTTTCATTCTCTGGTGGAAGCCATTGATGACCTCTCCTGTATCTCCATCATTAGGTTTCATATCTCTTAAATGCTAAGTATTATTTTAGATGTTGAAAGATATAAAGTACTAGCCTACATTTGGTCATTATTTTCCAGTAATTTTTAAATTTTTATTAGTACAAGTTCACCGTATATAATGATTACATTCACCGTGGGGAGTTGGTACATGGACATAAAATCTTAATTCTTTTTATGTCTCCTTCTCTCCCTTCTCTATTGCAAGATCCCCTTCTCATTTGCAAAAGATCTCTCTGTTTCCCATTATCTTTTTTTCCCATTTCCCTCCCCTCCCTTCAACCCTTCTTCCCCTCCTTATTTACAAAGAAACAAAGCCTTTCAGTAATGTTAAGACTTGATTGACATCCAAAGGTTTGTTTGTTTAGGGTTTTTTCAAAGCATTCTTCTTAGGCCAAATACTTCAGTATGCAAAGACAAGAAAATGGATTATACACAAGCCGCTGTCTGTGAGACAATAGTTGGAGTGACACAAGTTTCTACACCTGAAGTTAATTTTCCCTCTTTAAAACTTTGACAATAAAGTTTGACGCTGGATTCCCATTCCCCCGGGAGCCAAGTTCCCCTCCTTGATTCCAATGGAGTGCTCCCCTCTTGAGCCCAGGAAACAAACTCTTTTCATAAGAGTCCTATTTGCATAAGCCAGCAAGTGAAATCAGTTGGACAGAAAAGCAGGCTCCGCTTCTGAGTGCACTTTATAGTAGGCGACATGAGCTGCCTCTTTATTGGCCAGCAGGAAACTAGAGTTTCAGAACACAGCCTGAAGAAAGTCCTCCCTCCTCCCCAGCCCTGGCTTCCTCTCCACTCCCTGCCTGCATCCTGTCTTCCTGGGGCTGCATTCCCCAGGGGAAAGCTCAGGGCACACCCCAGTCTGGAAAGGAGGTCCCCTTAAGTACATTTTGAAGTCCTGCCTGCCTCAGTCCTGTGTGCCCTGGCCCTGATGTGTCCAGCCTGCAGGGAAGGTGCCTCACTTTGCTTGGGCCCCTGCAGAGCACTGGGCTCCTGCTCCCCACACCTAGTGGCTCTACAAACATTCTGGCACAGTACCAATCCTTCCCGTCCTACTTCTCAGAGCCAGTGGGCCTGTGCTGTATGTATCCCTTGAAATCTTCATAAACCCTATTGAAAATGGTGGTATTCTTAAAAAATGACACCCAGAAGGCACCCTGCATGCTGGGCCAGTGGTGAGCCCAGGTAGCGGCCTCTGTCCCTCTTAGGTCCTCACTTCACACCCTGCAAACTTGGTACCATTCAGAGCCCCTTCTTCATCTGTTGCTCTCACTCCTCAATGCAAATTTAAATGAATTTCTGGTTGAGCCTCAGCCCAGAAAGGATGATGAAGATTTTATGGGTATTACTCACGGCCCCTCAAAGCTACAGGAACTGCAGAGACGTAGCAAAAGGAATAGATGCTGTTATTGAAAAGCAAGATTAATGATGAAATTGCTGGTGGGATTGTGGTCTAAATTTGTCCTTCTTAACACAGAAGGCTGACGATAAGGAGAAAAAATTGTTTACTGCCATTTTCTTCTCATTTGCATTATTTATTGTCAGCAGCCAAGGGGGCAGTTAAGTATAAACAGCCCGAGTCTTAATTCAGTTCCTGGACTGCTTGACAAATATGATTGCTTTTGGGACATAAATAGCCCTTACCCAGCCCTCTAATGAGCAGATTGCTACTCGAAGTGTTCATGGTATTCATCATGAAAGGACTGGCCCTCTTCTCTTTTTGTTCTTTTCTACCAGGGTTATTTATGCTCTGCCTTCATTCTTGATGAATCAGTAATCGGCACCTTATCGCCATAATTGGAACTTCAGCCCGCATGGTGCACGGGTACCCTCCCAGTCCCCATCCCAGGGCCTCTGTGATCTGCAAATAAAGATGGCAGGTTCCAAGCATCACTTATTAAGAAGTGATTTAAGAATCATTTTCTACACTGTGAACTATCACCCCTCAGTTGCCTGTTTAAAATTCACAAATGACATAGTGCTAAGGTGGAGTGAGAGACACAGCTCATTCAGAAAAATTTTCTACAAATCCAAGACTTGTTAATAGGTAGCGTAGCTTGGCACATTGAGTCCAGCTTTGTAGAAATGAAAAAATAACTCTGGGAATGGGGAAAGTGGGGAGAGAGGCCATCTAAAATGGTCATGTATTAAGTACCTGGGCAACACATTCTTCCTCCCCCTCCATTGTCCCCAAGCTAAGTTGATGGATGACAGGCAATGAAAATGAATATAATTATAACTTGTCATCATTGACCTGCCTTCAACACCAAGGCCAGAGAGCAAGCAATTGCTTGTAAGATGGCTTCCAGGGTGACTTGCAGAGATTGAACAAGAGCATAAACATGTTCTCTTCTTTGGTACATAAACCTACACCTGGGATATCATTCTTAGGAAGTAATTCAGAGAGAAAGAAATGATATGCATAGAGATGTTTATAATAGCATTAGTTATTAGAATACAGTGCTGAAAGCAATTGTAAATGTGCCTGTGGACAAATGAGTCAGCCTGTGATGATGTATCACCTCTACGGCATTCAGCTCTGAATGGGAGCACTGGTGGCCACAGAGAAAATGAGTTCTCAACAGTGAAAAATAAAGCTCTCCAAACTATGCATCATATTTAAAAATAATGTAAGAAAGCCTAAGAATCTATTTTAAAATGAGAACAATTTTTGTGTTTAGATGAAAAGAATCTGGATGCTGCTTTCATGGACTTCCCCTCCCCTAATAGTACATAATTTCAATTTAAAATAGGACTCAGAGAAGTGTTTCTGAATGTTATGGTCATTTGTGCCAGTGGAAGACACCCCAAAGTGCCTGTTCCTCTTCTGCCACAGTAGACCAAGATGGTGCCCGCACCATCAGGGTGGGGCCCACCGTCAGTGACTGCAATGAACAGAGCCTTCTGCAGACCCCACCAGACATGTAGCATAAGCAAGAATGGAAATGTGCTTTGGAGATGTTCTAAGTTGTTTGTTGCCTAAGCAGGGCCTAGCATATCCTCACTGATACCTGAAGGTACAGTTAAGATGCAAATCATGAAACAAGCCAGTCACAAAAAGACACACATTTTAAAATCCCATTTATAGGAGGTACTGTACTTAAGAGTACTCAGATTCATAGACACAGAATGGAAAGATGGGCGCCAGGGGCTGGGAGGTGGGGAGAATGGGAGTTTGTGTTTAACGGACACAGAGATTCAGTTGGAAAGGTGGAACAGTCTGGAAATGGATGGTGGTGATGGTTACAAAACAGTATGAAAGTATGTAATGCCTGAGGGCTGTGCACTTACAAATGGGTAGGATTAGAATTGGGGGTAGGCAGTGCTGGAGATTGAACCCAGGACCTTGTGCATACTGGGCAAGTGTTCAACACAGAGCTTCACCCCTAACCAAGATGGCAAATTTTATGTTATATATATTTTATTACAATAAAAAATTAGTCTAAATCTTTGTAACAGAGGAAACAATAGGAAAAAGTATGCATTTGATTTGATGGGATTCTAGACCTGGAAGAGGAGCTGACCTGAGCCTGTGCCAAAGCACAGCCCTCAGCTGCCTTTTTTGTTCATCTTCAGCCAGGAAGGTCATTCCAGAAGCATCAGACCTACAGCTGTGAGGGAAGCTGACCAATCCCATCAGTCCATCAAGGCCGTGAAATCTTGCCAGGCCTCAAGCCCAGAGCCCAGGCACGCTCCACACAGTGACTTGGGACATTTTAGACCCCTAGGCTGCCCTTTTTTATTTGCAGAACTTACCACTGATCTTGTGTAGGACATGAGTTAGCCCTTTAAAGTTCACCAAGACAATGCCCCCATCCCCACCACCCCCAGCAGTGTCCCCTGTAGGTGCCAGAGCCACCATTGAGCCCCTCCACTCAGCCCCACAGTCACACACACACACACACACACACCCGCCATAGGGCGGGCATGGACAGGGCAGTGTTTATAATTGTCAAGAGCCCAGGCTTCGAGGTCACTCCTGGATTAGAATCCTGGCTCTTCCACAGCCCTGGCCAGGACACCAAGCAGAGCCTCAGAGATCTCTCCTGCCTGTGGGATTAGTGAGTGGCACCTACAAAGCACCCCCCGCTGCCTGATGTGTAGGAAGAGCCTGAGGTCAGTGTCATTGTTGTCCTTATCCACTTTTCCCCAAACCTACCTTTCCCCTCCCTTATTCCCAGCATAGAGTTAGAGCAGGCAAAAAACAAGAGTAGAGGCTTGTCCCTTCCTTAGGAAGTGGTGACAGGAGAAGCCCTAACCCTTGGGTCACACCAGAGATGGAACCCAGGATGAATCTTGAAGTTCTGTCCCAAGCCTTTTCGGTCTTGTGGCTTTTGTTATAATTTGGAATACATTTTACTGCAACAGACCAACCTACACAGACCCTGAGGATCCTTCCCAACCCAGACTAAGGTTTCACAGCAAATTAAATAGATTTATTTACTGAAGGACTTGTTGGGGCCTCTAAGGTGTAAATGGGGGCATGGGGTGCAAATTTTGACCCAGGATGGATGTTCTAGAGGATGCTGTTTGGGGCGTGTTGGAATTCAGGTGTCCTGCCCTCCAGGGGGCACAGAGAAGACTTGGTAGCAAAAGTCTTCTTTTGACCCACAATGGACAAAACCTAAACCCTCACACATAGTCTCCATTTCAGAAATTAGACCAGTGTGACAGCTCAGCTGGCAAAGCTGGTTCTGTGCAATGAAACAGTCAAGTGCGTGAAGGGCCGTCACTGTACCCCCATAGTTCCTGGTCTTCAATTATTGAGGGGAAGAAAGGCCACAGGGGCCTTGACTTGATCACCTTCAGATGGGGAGGGTTCCTGCAGAAGGAAGGGTCCCCTGAGCATCTTTGGGGACCATTTCTCTTAGGACTTTGACTGGAATTGTCTGAGACTCATTCATGCTGCTAGTACTTGAGCATCTCCAAAGGGTGCCCTTGTCACCACACAACAAAGTACACCTCATTCACCACCTGCCTGAGCACACAACCCCTACCGGACCCAAGTTCAGAGTAGCTGCATGTTTGGTTTAATGCTCTGTCATCACCACCTTGAAATTCTTAATATTTTTAATAAAGGATCCAAATTGTGCCACTGATCCTGCCCAGAAATCCTAAGGGCTGTGTTGTGAGATGTCAAATGGTGATTGGGAAGCAGAGCCTCTGCCTGCTCACCTCAGGAATACTGTTCACACTGGGAGGACTCAGTGCACATTGGGAGGGCTTGGTGCACCCTGAGGGAGCAGCTCACAGCCCAGAGCAGAGCCCGGACCATGTTCATTTTAGTTATGAAAATCTCCTCAGCCAAAACCTGGCCACATTTCTGGATCCTTTGTCAGGGAAGATGTCAAATGGATGTCACTGAGAAGTATTAAGTCTGGTGCAGGATCAGGCTGAGGAGGCATGGTGGGAGGGACAGAAGGATTGGTGCCACAGCAGCTCTCGGTCAGGTACAGCCCTGCCCTCACCCGGGCCTCTGGAGACAGCGGTGACACATCCTGCTGCTGACACAAGTGGGCCTCTGCAGCCAGCCCCCCGCAGCTGACCTGCCTTGTTGATCCCCATGGCAACATACTGTGCCAGGCTGCCCGCCTGACCTTGACTGTCAGGCCAGCTAATTTTAGTTCTGCTCACCCACTTGCATGCTTTCACCACATGAACATTCTTCACACCAGGTACTTCCGACCGGAAAAGAGACTCATTTATTTTTACTAGGCAAAGAAAGGTGGCAGGAGTTACCAGCCCTCTGTTCTCTCATACTGGTCCCAGGGCAGGGAAGGCTCTTTACAGACATGGTGTCTTTCCCTCTGGGCATGGGACCCCCATTTCCTGACCCCACACCCAGCTGCTGGTCTGACTTTATACAGGGGAACTCCCAGTCCGCCTTCTTTATACTAAGCTTAAGATTAGCTACACCAAAGGGGACACTAAGGGGTTTCCCATAACCCCCTTTGTGCTGTGTGCATTCCTCCAGCATGACAAGCCACCAGATAGTGCCCTCACTAAGAAAGTTATGCTAGAGACAAGCTCTACAGGCCGCCTTGGGCCCAGGCTTAGCTGCTGGCAGAGTCTCAGCACTTCCCAGGGGCTTTCCTGCCTCCTTAGCAGCCACCAAGTCCCGGTCCTTCAGTTCATACTGGCTATAGCACACAGCAGCAGGTGTGTGCAATCACTAGAAAGTTGTAGAAAGGGGGTATTAAAGTGAGCCACTTGCCAGTGGACATCCAGCTAGGAAGAGAAGAGCTGGAATTCCAGCCCAGATCCGCCTGACCTCAAAGCCATGATGTCCTCCCTCTCCCTCAGCGTGGGGTTGTTAACCCAGCAGAAGTCAAAGGACATGTCCAGAGAAGCTCAGTTTCCCTCATTGCTGCCATGCAGGCACCTCGAACCCCACAGAGCATCTCTTTGTTGGATCCGAAGTCACAGTGTAGTTTCCTGGGCCCAGGATTATCCTCTTTGCCAGTATTCTTAAGTTCTCTTCATCTCCAGTAAAGACATTGAGCTTTCTCTACCCACCCCCAGCCTTCTGAACACAAAGCCATCTGTAACCTGACTTCATCATAATTAGATTTTTAGCACATGATTATAAGATTAATGGATTAATTATAATGTATTTGTAAACCATTAAAAGCATTATTCAAAGACATTTCTGTAAAGATTGTTTTGGGTGGCCCAGGGCAAGATAATTAAAGGGACAGAGTTAAAAAATGAGAAACACACAACCACCAGCCTAATTAAAGATAATCAAATTAGACTCAAGTTAACTGAGCTAACTCTGCTGCCTACGCTGTGCTGTGCTGGGAAAGAAACCAGGTCTGTTTCTCTTTGCTGAATTGGATCTTCAGCCACCGTGTTACTGAACTACTTCTAAATATTTCCCATGTTTTTCTTTGCCGGAGAAGCCTCCATTTGATGGTGAAGATGAAGATGAGCTGTTTCAGTCTATAATGGAGCACAACGTTTCCTACCCCAAATCCTTGTCCAAGGAGGCCGTTTCCATCTGCAAAGGAGTAAGTAAACTGGGATTCCTTCTGTGATCAGGAACTGAGCGACAAAACCTTTTCCACATTTCTAAGAGAGACTATTGCCATTGCTTTTTGGTATGTATTAATGTATGCCATTGCTTTTTGGTGACATGCAGGGCATAATGGGACAAATGAAGGCCAAGAGCGGACTCAAACACCAGTATTTCCTGGCCCTCTCATTGTTCTGCCCGGCCGTTTCCAATCCATTTCATAGAATGGTAATGGGGTCACCAGAAGAGACCAGAAGCCCTTGGTCTCCCATCTCTTGCTGCACTTAGTCTGACTTAATTAGTTTTTTGTTGGTTTCTCTGTTTGTGAGACACGATATACCTGCAGAAACAGGCACAAACCATTGGTGTACAAAGCAGTGAATTTTCACAAAATGAATGTGCCCATGTAAATACACAAAGGCCAGGAGGTATAACCTTAGATGCCCTGTCCAGTCTCATCCCCCAGATAGTCAGGATTCCCACTTCTGACTACACAGATTGGTCTTGCCCGTTTTGACCTCTGCTCAGATAGGATTTTGCAGTGTGCTACACTCCTGGGCCTGGCTTCTTTCATTCAACATGGCAGTTGTAGGTGTGGCCACACTGCTGCATGTGGTTGTGGTTTCTTCTTTCACCTTGCCGTCTGGCGTTCACTTCCATTCCTGGCAAGTATTGGGGCTGTTTCTACTTTGGCTTCAGGCTGTTACAAATAGAACTCCTGGGAACCTTTTAGAGTCCTGTGTTTTAGTGAACATATGAACACATTTCTTTCAAAGAAAGAGTGGGATTGCTGGTTGTGACTTGGCTAGTGTTTAATGGTAAGTTTTAGGTCACAAAATTCTTTTCAGACTCAGCGAGCTGAAATTCAACAGTCTTTAACATTTTCTGGTTAGTTCAGTTGTTTAAACGCATTTACCATGTCATTGAAAGGCAGGGCAGCTGGCAGAGATGCTAACTAAGGTCATGGGGAGCTGGATCCTGCTTTTGAAGAGCTCACAGGCAGCATTTGCCTCTCCATGCTGCAGTAGCATGTTGAAATTAATTGGCCATCTTCTTGTTACAGTGTCTGTTTTGCTAATCCAAGAGGCGTTGACTGATAATTTTGGGGCAAGACAATAAATATGCTATGGTGCTTGTTATAGTGTCCTGTGTGGTGCTGGTCTGCCGTAATTTCAGTACATATGATTTTTAATGATCACAATCCTTTTCACCAGGTATACATGTAGAATACCACCCATCTAGCCATGGGTTCAGGGTGATTTCTATTTTCCTTATAGCAACCCCTGTAGAAAAGTCACCCTTGGCACATTGTATTTGGGAGTTTCTTGGTAAGTTTCCTGACGCTGTCCAGGCAGTCCCACCACCATGCTGGAGGCACAGCCAGGCCAAGGGAAGGCACTGTCTCTGGGAATCCACTGTTGTGCAACCTGCTGACTTCCTCCTTTTTCTCCAGCTGATGACCAAACACCCAGCCAAGCGCTTGGGCTGTGGGCCCGAGGGGGAGAGAGATGTGAGAGAGCATGCCTTCTTCCGGAGGATCGACTGGGAGAAGCTGGAGAGCAGGGAGATCCAACCACCGTTCAAGCCCAAAGTGGTGAGTCCAGAAAAAGCAGCCTGTGTCCAGGGTTTCCCACATTCTGGTTATGACCTATGCACCCTTTCCATCGGAGAAAGGAAGTCAGTAACCCTGGCTTCAGCAGGGTGAGGAAAATAGTCAAGTCCCGCCCTTGTCCTCAGTCCTGGAGTCTAAGCAGCCAGGATGCCTGTTGGCTTTGGAGAATAAGGACAGAGGATGGGGAGCCCTGCGATCCTTCCCCTTAACAGGGCAGCTGCAGAGCCTCAGACCGTTAGCCAGGGTGAGTCTGCGCAGGGGACTGGATTTGGGACACCATGCCAAGCCCAGCCGGACTCCTTGCCCTGCCTGGGTCCTCGGCAGGACGCAGGCCTCACGCCTGTCTCTGACTTTCCTGGATCTGCCGTGCCCCAATGGGGCCTGAAACATACACCCATCTTTACTAGATCACAGGAAGCTCCCACGTGGCTGCCGTGTCTGTGACACATGGCAACTGCCAGTCCTCACCTTGTCAATTTTATTCAGATTCTTCTGTGGGATTCCCATTTCTTCCATTTATTTAACAAACGCTACCCGCCAGGCCCTGTTCTCGGTGCTTTACAAATATGGGCTCCATTTAATCCTCCTGACGCCCCTGTGAGAAGGGTATTATTGTCCCCAGTTGGCAGTGGAGAGAACTGAGGTGTGGAGAGGCTGAGTAACTTAAGGGAGGACACACAGCTGCCCGGTGACAGAGCCGGGACAGAGGCCGTGTGCTTCCCCACTGCGCCGTCACTCTGCCTCAGTGAAAGCCCCACGGCTGCTTCTGATAGTTGATGGCAGCCAATGTGTGCCCTTCTTAACGTTGTATCTCTCGAGAGGCACTGAATGTCTTCAAGACGCCAACCTCCTCACGTATCTCCCCAGCCCCTTTTGCAGCGCCCAGGGCACCTGCATGTCCCTGCGCTTTGTTTCGGAGGGCCGCGGGACCCACGCCTTTCGGCCTCCCCTGTCTTAGCCAGTGCTGGGCTGCTGCCCCAGTACTTTCCTCTCAAGACTGCAAGGAGAGCTGCTTTATCCCATCGTCAGTGTCACAACCACCCACCTGCTAGTCCTGTCCAAATCTGTGCCTGAGGGGTGCCCCATGAGCGGGCCAAGGGAACCCTGGAGTGGCAGGGTGGGCCACACAAGCCTTGTTCTCAGACCAGCATCTTCCTATCAGAAGTGCCTGTGTGTCCTCTGGTCCAAGAATAAAACTGCTGGTGATGAGCCCACTTGACTTTATTTTCCTAAGACATTTTTAGCACAGATTGAAGACCAACTAAAATTAATCAGGTCGGTTGACTTCCTCCTGCATCATCACTGCAAATAGGCGCTTATGTATCTGCCACCCCCACCTTGTCTTTAGCCTCCGAGAACCATGGGCGTTCTCAGGGGTCCTTCAGGGCACGAAATCTGGTTGGGAGGTCTGGGAGAGGAGGACAGAGGGATAAATGGGATTTTCTATGTTCTCTTCTCCCTTCTGTACTTACTTATCTTCTTGAATTAAACATGAAAGGTAGGCAGTAGCATCCCAAACACAGCTGGCGGCTTTGTAGGAACAGCACAGAGACATGTACTGACCCTGCTTTAAGGGCTGAACAAAATGCAATTACTTGTCTATCACTTTCTGGAAAGAGATGAGGAGCAGTGAAGCTGACCATAAACACTTTCTTTTTTTCTACTTCTTCTTGATTTCAGAAGAAATTGTTTATTTGCAGTTTCCCACTTTTCATGGATGGATACTTGGCCCCAAATTCACATGTAGGAAAAACCAATGGTAATTTAGCTCAGGCAGCCAAAAATATGAGCAGTTCCCTGTGGGCCATGGAAGTCACTGAAGGCAAAGTGGTTCCCATAGCAGACAGATGAGGTATGAGCAGTATTTAATTTTTTATTTTCTGGAGTCCTACTTTTTGCTTGTTTGTTTTTTGTTCTTTTTTTTTTTTTAACTGAGTGCTGGTTAAAATAAAAAGGAAGAATAAATTGCCTTTGGCTGTAAAGAAACAGTATCCTCTCCCCCGACCTCTCCAGGCTAGGCAGCGCATACCTGTAGTCCCAGCACTGGGAAGCTAAAGCAGGAGGATCATGTTGAGGCCAATCTGGGCTACATATCCAGACCTTTTCTCAAAAAAAGTAAAGAAACAGCCTCCAAACACAAACAAGCAGAAGTTGAAAACAGGGACCTTAGAGCTGGGAGAGCGGCGGCCAGAGGGAGGAAGCAGTGCATCTATGTGTAGCAAGCTCCTCCTGCCTGAGGCCCAGTGCATGGAAGAGGAAGGAACCAGGAAGAACACAGGGCAGGAGCTGGGGCAGCAGGGCAGACACATGGCAAAGGAGGTTAGAAGCAAGCGGTGCCAGGCATTCAGTCACAAGCTAGAAGAGAGTCAGGTGCAAAGAAGTAAGTGGGGAGGTTCCGGTCCCTGCAGGGGCAGCAAAGAACCACCTGTGAGCTCAGCTTTTCCCGGTCCTTCTGTATGTGATGTGCTCAGCCTCAGCATTTGGCTCTAGTCCCAGGTAAGGGGCATTTCATGGAAGGGCATCATGCTGGAGCAAAACTACCATGCCAACAACAGTTCAGGCAAAGAGGACATTTAGGACAGAGGAAAGGGACCCTAGTCAGAGCTGCAGAGATGCCGTGGTGAACCCCAGCAGCAGGCAGAACTGACCACAAATGAACATTATTTTGGGATGTGGTTTCCCAGGTCTCTCAGTATAAAGCATGGCTCCCTGACCCAGCACCGGATGAAAAGCCAAAGGGCTTACAGATAAACACAGACCTGAGCCTTCTCTGACAGGTGGTTTTGGTATTTCAAAGAGGGATACAACAACACAGGCAGCATGGTGCCCAGAGCCCCTGACTCACTGTGCCTGGGGGCCGGCTCCTGGACCTATCTCAGAGCGGCTTTCAGAGCCCTGGATGGCGAACCTTGCCTGTCTTGGCAAAGTGTGCTTGTGAGTTTCTAGCAAGCACTGGTGAAATCAATTTCCCTGGAATTTACAGGATTAAAGATGGTTAGCTGTCCTCATATGTGGTACTGCTCCTGGGTCCCATGGTGTTAACCTTGACTTATTGTCAGATACCAGCTCTAGGACTTCAAGTGCTCACAGTTATTTCCTGGGTACTTCTGGATACCAAATGTGTGCTTATAGTCAGGAATCTATCTTCTTTGTTTTATTTTTATTTTTTTGAACCTCCAATGATAGATTATTCCAGAATCACAGACTTGCTAAGGAGGATAGAGATATTACACCACTGGAGAGCCACAGGCTTATCCAGAGGACTCAGGGTTCTCAGAGTGGGAGGTCTTTTTAATCATCTTCCCAGTTGCCAGAGTGACACTGGTGAAGTTAACCTTAGACCAAAGTGCCCCGCAAAATATAAGATTCTTTATATTTATATATTTTATATATTTCTATATAATTATATTTATAAAGTTACCATTGAAGAAGAATGCCAGCATCAACAGGTGAGTGGGGCACTCTGAAAATGGGCCTGTCTTTCAGAGATGGCCTTTCTTGGGACACTACTATAGTTATTTTATCAAAAAGAGAGAGGAAAAAATAGAATAACTTTTGTCCAGACATTGTCATCCTTGCAGCAAGAGCCAAAGAGAGTAAGAGTAGTGAGAACGAACAATGGTGAGTGCTTCTTTGGTGAGAAGGTACAGTCAAGGAGTCCTCCTGCTGCCGTGCAGGCTGTATTTCACAGTGTCATTAGCTTGACTAGAGAGTTTGATGATGATTTCATTGTCAGGGTTCGTATAGTGGTCCTTTTTATATTTTAAAAAAAATACTTTGAAACTTCTAGTTTCAGAGTTGCAAAAGAATTGAAAAAAATTATATAAAGAATTTCTGCATTCCCTTTACCCAGATTCCCTAAATGTTAACATTTCACCATGTTTAGTGTATTGTTCTTTTTCCATTCTCTGTCTGAGCCTGTGTGTCTACAGACACACACACACACACACACACACACACACACACACACAGACAAACACTTTTCTGCACCACTTGAAAATAAGGTGCAGGTTTTGTGCCTCTTGACACCTAAATAATTCCATGTGTATTTTCTAAACATGAGCACAACTCATGTACAGTGTTCTTTGAACAGTTACTCTGCAGAGTTATTTGTACAGAGCAGCAGCTATCCAGGTAAAAGAGGAGGGCCCTGCCATGACTGTTTAACTGATACAATACCATGGGTGCATTAAGCAGTTCTCTTGAGTGACAAGCAGAGTCATTCTCTTGGCCCTTCCAGTGAGCCAGTAATGGTGATGCTAATTAAAACTGAGATTCTCAAGACTTAGGGAACCTTGCTGGCAATATAAAAACACCAGGCAGCCTTTGAAGGCTGGAAGAAATCACATCATGATGTATGTAGGTTTGCTTTAGTCCTTTAAACCAGTCCAAGATGGTATTTTTTACTTGGTTAATTAGCGGCAAGCAGTTTTTTGTATTCTTTGCTACTTTCCCCAATACTTTCGTAATTGGAAGAAATGAAACACTTAAAATAATAATCAATAGAAATAGGTAACAGTATTGCAAGCCTTGGAGCTGCAGTGGTGAAGGGTGGCATAAGTACAACCCTGTCGGACTCAAGCTGTTTGAAATGACTGACAAGTTCCCCTTGTCTGAATTGAACATCCCTGCCTGCGCTGGGCATTACATTGTTCTTGGAAAAGGAGCATAAAGTCCTATGAAGCTGGCCACTAATATAAAGACCAAACAGAATACACATTCTTACTCCATAGGAAACAGCCTCTGCTAAGTCAGAACCTTTGCCCTTGTTCATGCATGATTTGTCCGCCTATGAGAATGCACACATGAAATAGGGCTTATAGCCTGTGTCATCCATGAGTAAAACTCACCTCTCTGAATAGCATTTGTCCTTCTGAGATAATGCTCTAAGGCAAGAGGTGAGGTGAGTACTGTTTAATTTTGTCTGGGAAACCACAACCCCACTTCTAGGCCCTCAGGACGGATGATGCTGGCAGAAAGTG